GCGGAAACGGCCACCGCCTCAACCGCCAACCACAGCCTCTCTTCCACCACCGAAGAGCTCGCCGCGCCGGCCTCGAGTAGGGAGCAGGCCTGCATGCCGCCCCTGCCGCTGCGTGCCCAGGCGCCGCCGCAATCCCCAGTCGCCAAGACGACGACGACGATGATGATGATGACGACGACGACGATGACGACGATGAAGAACCATCTTGACCCCGCCGCATCCCTCCTGACTGCCGCCTGCCCCCGCGTCCCTCGTCTCTCGCCCTCTCCGCCTCTTCCCTCTTCTCCTCCGCCCCCTCGGCCTCCTCCCTCCGCGGCAACTGTACCATCTTCTGGCGACTGCGAAGTCGTTGCCCGGGAGACGCCGGCCTTTCACGCGCCCCTCAAGCAGGCCGGCACGCAGCCGGGACCCACCGACATTTCACCTCCGCTTCCGCCGTTGCGCTCCTGCCTTCGGCGCGCCGTCACCATGAGCCCCAGCGAGAGTCGACACGAAGAAGCGTTCGGTTCTCGTCGCCGCTGCGGTCTCCAACAGCCCGGACAGCCGCAGTTACCGCCAGGCAGACAGTCAGGCGCTAGCGCCGGTGCCGGTGCCGGCGCTGGTGTTGGCGTTGGTGGCAGGCCGAGGCCGGCAAGTCATCATCAGGACTCTCGAGGCCTCGGGGCCCTCGACTTTGGTCGACTCGGCGAAGAGGCCACGCCCCACTGCCCTGACGACCACTCGGCCACGGGCCAGCGAGCACGTCTGGCGGCGCGGAGGACGCTCTTCAACGCGGCAGACGCCACTGCGCTCAGCTCCGGCTTCGTCTCCACGGGCTCGTTGCGCATGGACGCCAGCGCCGGCGGCAGCAGTTGCCAACTGGCCATGCCGACAGCTTCACCGCCGTCCTCCTCGCCATCGCCGTCGCCACCGCCGCCTCCACCATCGTCTGCGCCGGCTGGACCCGCGGCCGCTGGCGAGGCTCGCCGAATCGCCGGCGCCTGGCCCCCTTCGGCCGGCGAGAAGAAGCGCAGCCGAAGCATGGGTCCCGTCGCTTGTCTGCCACGACCGCCTGACATTATGGTAGGATATCTTTCCCTTTCACGTCCATCTTACCTGCTCTCTCGGCGTTGCCGACACGTCATGCACAGCATCTTACAACGCCGCATCATAGACCGGCCTTCAGGCGGGGTGAACAGGGCTTTGGGCGAAAGAGACGCCCTCACGTCGAGGTGTCACTTGTGGTTGAACTTGTCCACATTCCGGTACATGCCTCGTGGTGATCGGGCCAGCTAGACGATGTGGCCTATCGAAAGTGCGCCTTTGAACAGAGTAACGTGCAGGTGAGAGCGGAGCGCAATAGTGACGCCCAAGGTCGGCGAATAAAAGTTGAGACGTCATCGTCAAGGTGTAGCCGGCGCCCTGCTCAAAAGTTCACTTCAGTTAGGACTTGTAAAAATGCAATTGGTTACGAGAGCTCTGTCTCAATTTCCCATTGGCTCTTTACCGAAGGTCTGGTCTGATATGATTGGTCAATTTGGTGGAGCTAATTGGAGGCTCACGTGCTATTGATCGACCAGTTTAAATTAAGGGGTGAGGATAAAGTACATTCGTATATGGGAGTTAATTGGGGCTGCGTCACTCCATTGTAGATACGAAGAAAGACTGGGTTTCGATAACATTGTTGGCGGGACTTTTATTTCGTATGAAAGCGCACGAAGAAGATATTCGCAGCTCGATCCCACCGGAAAAGGACGGCTGAATCGCGCTGTACTGCAACCGTTTGGCTTTTATACGACGTTCAGGTTGACGCAGTCCACGAGACCTTTCTCGTTCCTGGTGAAAACGGGCTAAGCTTTCTTCTTGCCGTAGTATTAACGTGAGACCGTTACAGGAATGTGACCCAGCTCTGAAGATGTCCATCATATGATGGACGAAGGCTCAGCCCGTTTTCACCAGAAACGAGGGAAGAGGTCTTGTGGACTGCGTCAACCTGAACGTCGTATAAATGCCAAACGGCTGCAGTACAGCAAGATTCATCCGTCCTCTTCTGGTGAGATCGACCTATGAATCTCTTCTTCATGAACTTTAATACGAAATTAAAATTCTCCCAAGAAGAAATCTCTGCTTATTTTCAGCGAAACCTAGG